AGTGGAAGCGCGGACTCTTAAATCACTGGACCGCCAGGGAAGTCCCGAAAACAAATCAAATCATAAGACATTTTTTCTCACAAATGTATCCGTCCACACACTTCTTCCAGGCTGTCCCTTCCCTTCCCTTCTGTTCCTCCTCCGTTTATCTGCAGTGGGTCTGTAAAATCGGGTTCCCTACCTATTTTGTGTCAAAAGAGGCTCATCACATTCACAGTCACACTGTGCCCCACCTCCACCCTCCCACGCGTCGCGTGCACACATTTTCTTCTTTGCCGTGATAATTATCATTTCCCTCAAGTACCTGTGATGGCGTTTTGCTGGTTGTCCCCTGGAAGGGATGCCTTTCCCTAGTTGCCACAAAGGTCTTGCCTTTGCTCAGTCTTCTCTGGGAGGAGAGCCACCACACTAACATGGAGAAGTTCCAGGGGCCTCTTGGGTTTGTGAGCATTCATATTTGGTAATTCATTGCTATCATTTGCTCCATGAGTACCTGCTTCAGCCACTTCTTATCCTCTGAGTAGTTCACTTCAGGCTGGCCCTTTAAGGGGGCCTGAACACTGAAGTTTTTTTCTCTGGCTTCCTGACTTTTGGTTGTGAATCCTATAACTATAAATTGATTTATAAAATCTATGAGTTGGTGCTGTTTCCTACCTTTCCACGTGCCAGTCTATAGCAGTGGTCTTTCTCCTAAATGACTTTTGAAAGGCAATTCATTGCATATATTAAGTTCATATTTAAAAGTTTTTATCACAAGTAGATTTTACAAGAATTAAGATGAGGGTAAGAGCTGTAATGTGTAAGGAATATGTTTTCCTTCTGCCCAGTGAGAGAAAGCTTATCATGAAAGAAGGCTTATTTTTAGGAAAAAATGCATATGAAAGTTGAAGACCTGGAAGTTGATTCCTTTAAAATGATTCATTTCTTACAAAAGTCTTCACATATCTCAGTTTGAAGACTGCTGCTAACAGTGAAACAACCTACCCCTGAAATGGACTTTCCAGTTGTTGGCTTTGATGCTCTACGATCGCTTAGAGGCTACCATTTTTCCTCCTCCAATGCTTGGTTTCTTCATTGGTCAGGATAGGCTAGATGGGGTGGTGGTACAAATTAGCCTACAATCTCAGTGGCTTAATACAATAAAACATCTTTCTTGCACGTATAGCTACACTATTTGAAAATTGTAGCTTCCAAGGTCACTGCGGCAGGAATATAGAAGCCTGGAGGATTTTGTGGGATGTTTTTAAGGATCAGGGCTGGAATTAGTTTATGTTTCATTGGCCAGGCCCCCGGCATTTGGGCCCAACCTAATTGCAAGAGAAGCTGGGAAATGTAGAAGAGCAGAGGGATTTGGGATTAGCACTGATTTGTACTTTGGTTGTAGCGTGCTTTACCTATCATTCAAAAACCCTTTATCTGGTCTTTTCCCACTATCCTTCCTGTAGATTTCTCAAGTTTTCATTAAAATAGTAGCATCCAACAGTTTAAAAACCTGTTTGATTGCAAATCCCATAGTAGTAGCCAAGTCCTTGCAAGAGAAGGGCAATTCTCAAGAAACTGAGTGTCAGTGGAAGGTGAATTATAAATTATTATAAGTCACTATCCATCTAGCTCTTGTTCTCTGGTTGTCTCTAAATGGTGTAATTGCCTTGTAACTTTGGCATCACTTCCACAGTACCTTTTTACAACTCAAAATTTTTAGGTTCCCTGGAATGTTTTCCAGTGGATGCTAATTTTCCAAGTACTCTAAACTCCTAAAATTACCTGCCAAATTATACTATTAGGAACAGAGCTTCTTTCAAGACTTTTAACCTATGCTAGAAAGAAAATATCCTGCTAACTATTCTAAATAAAGCTTTGAAGAGATATCCATCTACTGTCTCACTCCTAAGTTCTGGTAGTTAAATTCTCTGTAGAATATCAAATTAAGAAATCATTTCGGTGTATATCACATGTTGTATTTCATAGTGGTATTCGATCAGTTTGTTTTATGACGACTTTTTTTTTTTAATGTCTCAGTAGTTGACTAGTACAGTGGGGGAGGGATGCCATGATGGCTGTCATACAGATGAGCCACTTGTGTGGGCATCTGTCAATTATATCTACTCTGGTGCTGCTGAAGTTTCTTTGTGTCGTGGAAACCTTAGGGCCAAATACCAGGGGAGTTCCTAGAAGCAGCTCTGGCAAGCATAGATTTGATGGCAACTTCATTATAGTTATACTGCTTTGCATGGTTACTCAGCTGTGATCATCATAATAGCTTTCCATCCTAGAGGCCAAATAAGTTAGAGCAATATACAAGCTGCTCAATATATCTTAACAAATTACGTTATAATAGATGCTCTTTTCAACTGTTTTTTTCCCCCCGTAATCAGCCTATTCTGGTCTTTCACAAACAGGCAAAGTATGGCTATAGATATCTTTTTAAAGTATAGAGTATTGAGAATCATATATGTTATTTTCTGTTCTTTGAAATAATCATGAGTCATGTGTTTTTCTCTTGTTTTCAAATCTGGATTATCTACTTTAATAGGTATTGTGACTGTATAATACAATGATGACGATGATGATAACAACAATTGTTGATTTTTAGTGAGCATTTACCATGTTCCAGGAAGTACTATGCACTTTACATAGAACATTTCATTTAATCCTTGCAAACTCTATGATATAGGTGTTTCAAATGAGGAAACTGAAGCTCAGAGAAGTGAAGTTACCTTGGTGAAGGTCACTAGGGTAGTAAGTAGTGAAGCAGAGAATTAAATTCAGTCAGTCTCCAGGGTTTATGCTCTTAACTGTTTAAAACTCATTAATTGATTTTGACTTAAATGTGCTCTAGAAGTCCTTTCTGGTTATCTTCTCAGATAATAAAAGTAAAATTCTATTGCCTGATGTTAAATTAATTCATTTGAAAAGTTTTGTGTCATTAAACAAAATTTATTATGGTTGTGAGTTGATATTGGTAGAGAAATATAGACTTCTCTTTATAGATTTATAATGAAATGAGATTTATGGGTTGAAGAGACCTCTAAATATATTTCCTGCATCATTTGAAATGAAACAAGGGCCCCAAAAGAGATGAGTACATAAGACCAGTAGTTTTGGAGTCTTATGTAACATAAAGAATTACTTGTCCATTCATTCCTAATGATGTCAGAATATCTTCTCACATTTGAGGTCTTTTTCTATGTTTTATTTTCTCTAAAATATCTTGTTTTCTCTCTCATTTTGTTCTTTATGTTTTCACTTTTTCATTTTCCTTTTTTTTTTTTGCTGATTATACACTTAATCACGATTAAGCAAAATTACAGAAATAAATAACTTAGCTAGTGAAAGTTCTCCATAAATTCTTACCCCAGGATTTAACCACCAGTAGAATTTTATGAATGCTCCTAGAAATACCAACATGTATTATTAATGTTATTATGTATCTTTACAAATATAGGATCATATTATACATTCTGTTCTACAACTTGATTTATTTTATAACTTAGGAATATATCTTGATGAACTTTACATGTCAGGGTATGTAAATGTCTCATTTTTCTTAGCATCGGTCCGGTATTTTTTTATATGGATGTGCAGGTGCTTATTTAACATTTCACCTGTTGGTGGATTTTTGCACTGTTTCGAATATTTTACTTCAGTATTAAAAACAGTGAGGCAGGGGAAGGGGTAGTTAGGGAGTTTGGGATTGACATGTACACACTGTAATGTTTAAAATGGGTAATCAACAAGGACCTACTGTATATAGCACAGGGAACTCTGCTCAATATTATGTAACAACCTAAATGGGAAAAGAATATGAAAAAGAATAGATACATGTATATGCGTAACTCAGTCACTTTGCTGTACACCTGAAACTATCACAACATTGTTAATCAACTGTACTCCAATATAAGATAAAAAGTTAAAAAAAATAAAAGCAGTGAGGCAATTCACAATAGAAGATGTATGAATGGCCTATTATTACATGAAAAGATTTTCAACAGCATTAGTCAACAGGGAAATGCCAGTTAAAACCACAGAGAAACATCATATACCCATTAGAATGGCTAACCTTTAAAAGATGAACAATACCTAGTGTTGTGAGGATGTGGAGTTTCTAGAACGCGCGCTGTTGTACAAACACTTTGGAAGTCTGTTTGGCAGTCTCTTAGAAAGTTAAGCATAAACTTACCATATTACCCAGCCATTCCACTAGGTGTTTACTCAAGAGAAATGAAAACATGTCCACACACAGACTTGTACACAAATGTTCATAGTAGCTTGATCCACTGTAACCTAAAACTGGAACCAACCCAGTGCCCATCAACAGCTGAATGGATAAACAAATGTGGTATATCCATAGAGTAGGATACTACTCATAAAAATGCAACAACATGGATGAGTCTCAGCGTCATAATGCTGAATGAAAGAAGCCAGACAAAAAAGGGTACATAGTGTATGATTTCATTTATATAAAATTCTAGGAAATGCAAACTAAAATGACAGAAAGCAGATCAATGGTTGCCTGAGGTTGGGGATGGAGGGAGAGGTAGTTTGCAAAGGGCAGGAGAAAACTTTCAGGTAATGGAAAGTTCTGTTTCTCAATTCTGGGTTTGGATAAATGTGTAATGACATGTATCCATCATTACAGTATCATACAGAGTATTTTCAGTGTCCTAAAAACCCTCTGTGCTCAGCCTATACACCCCCTCCCTCCATTTTAAAATTTTTCATTAGTTTGTCCCACTTTTAAATTTTTCATTAGACAAACTATCTTAAGTGTAGCTTTGGACTTTATTAAATCGGGAATAATCTGGTATTAGAGGCTTTAATTTTTACAGATTGATTTAGTTGGACTGGGTCAAGGTTTCTGTGATATATATAAAGCAGAAATGTGAAGGAAAATTTATTTATTTATTTAGTAGTAATAGATATTACTAAGAATATGAAGAATTCTGCATTATTCCTTCCGACAATCAGTAATCATCTTAAGTATTTTCTGTCTTTGCCAGATACCGACAATATGAAGCCATTGGAGGGTGTAAGAATTCTGGATCTAACAAGGTTTGTATTGGTTTATCTGTGTTTTGGTGATTGAGTTTTCCCCCTTCTTTAAAAAGGCATTTATTTCTTGGATTATAAGAAGGTGTTTATAAGCTTATCATTGAAATTTTGGAAAGAAAAACCAAGAAAATTTCCTGTAATTTCATCATTCTATGAGACAATTAGTATAATACTTATACATTTCTTTCCAATCTGCATATTTATATATAACTTGTGAAAATAAAAATTGGAACCATATTGAAATTACAGGTTTATCCACATTTTAAACATAATGTTATATTTTGAGTATTTTCTCATGTCATTCAAGATTCAACAAAAAATATAAGATATTTTATTATAGTATATAGTTGTCACGTAATTACTTAGTCATCCTCCAGTGTTTTTATATTATAAATGAGACTTCCTTGTACATAAATCTTTGCCTCAGGAAATCTTTCAGTTTCTTCCTTAGGATAGAATTCTGAAAGTAGAATTACTGCATCAAAGGGAATATACTTTTTAAAGCTCTGATACATATGGCCAAAATCACTTTTTTGAACAGTTTTAACAATTTTTTTTTTTTTTAGTTTTAACAATTTTAATTCTTACTCATATTATATGAGCTTGTCTGTGTTGATGGACTATTAAGAAAAGAATTAATATAAAAATCTTAAAGATGGTAATGAATTTATCTATCATTGTTAACATTGTAGAGTACTGGCGGGACCTTTTGCTACTATGAATTTAGGAGATCTTGGAGCAGAAGTTATAAAAGTGGAAAGACCAGGTAAAACTACTGCTCTCTTTAAAACATAGAAATAAGCTAATAAATATTTTTAATAGTTCTTTAAATGTCCATGTACCTGTATGTGGGATGAGGAGAGAATTGAAATGAAGCGATTATTTTCCCTTCTCCTTTCTTTATTTTCCTCTGAACCTATACTAATATTAGATCTCTTTCTACTCTTTATACATGCCAAGGGCTAAGGCCTAAGCCAGGTCCTTCACATGCACCTGGAAGCCTCTGGTAGAAACTGACGGGCAACACGTAAATAATGATGATGCTAACAACAGTTAGTGCCAGGAACAATTCTAAGCACTTTGCCTGTATTAATTTATTCAGTCTTTACAACAGCCTGTGAGCTGTTATTATTCCTAGATTATAAAAAAGAAGACAGAGACACAGAGAGGTCAAGGGATTTGTCCACGGTCACACAGCTAGTAAGGAATATCCAGACACTCAGCTCTGATCCTGGCCCTTCTGAGCCCCACACAAGCCTTGCTGCTGAGACTGAGGTTAGAGTGGGCCTGGCCACCTTCCCTCACTGGGGGATGAAGGGAAGGCAAGAAATTAGCATTATTATTTATTCTTCAAGATCTGTTGCTTATGGTTATGGAACAGAATTCCCAAATTAGTGAAAATGGTCTATTCTTGAATAGTGTGCATGTATCTATAAGACCCATAAGAAACTAGTTTATAATTACATCAACATATTAATTTACCATAAGTGATTAAACGCTATAAAGTAGAACGCATGATCCAGAAGATTCAACTTTCTGCTACATAGATCTTCTTAAGAGGCCAAAGCAGTTAGCAGAAGATTCTCTGATCAGCATGGGGAATGTTATATATTTTATATTTATCTGGCCCTGTGCTTGTCAGGCTCCAGGTGATAGAAGAGCCTGGTGAATCCTGCTTTCTAGAGATAATGCTTCATTTATCCAGTCAGTGATATTTATCACTTTTGGTCATTGCTGGGTATATGCTGAATAATGTTTACTTTCTAGCTGAACATCTTTTTTTTTCTTTTACAGGTACCACAAAACTTCTAATTTTCACATTGCTATCCAGTTTTAATACCACATACTTTCTAATTTCAAGCATTGGGTCTTGCATTTCTAGATAGAATAGCCAGTATGATTTCTGTTGCTATATCATTTGATCACTAGGTTAAATATTTGTACAGTTTGCCCTTCGTATCCACGGGTTCTGCATTTATGGATTTAGTCAGCCACAGATTGGGTACTTTTATGATCTGTGATTGGTTGAATCTGCGGATGCTGTACTGGTGGATATGGAGGGCCAATTATGGGACTTGAACATCTGCCAATTTTGGTGTCCTCAGCGGGTGCTGGAAGCAGTCCTTCATGAATACTGAGGGAATGACTTTATCTTTATTAATTTTAGAAATCACTAATCCCTGTTTGCTTAGTCCTGTTTCTCCTTTGTACTTTTTCATTTCCACACTGGGGGACCCTTTCCTTAGTCTAGGCCTTTATTATGTTCCATAGCCATACACTAGGCATCAAGCTTTGTTCCTAGCAGCTGTTCATTGCTCTTTTTCTTACTAATTGGTCTCTCTCCTTTAACCCTTTTGCTCAGTACGTTTTAATGTTCATATTATATATTTTGTTTTTTCGAGATAGTTATTCAACAGATATGAAGAAAAGTCCCTTGGCAGTATTTTCACATTTCAGTCTCTTTTAGTGTCCACTTCCTCAGTTCTTAAATTAAATTTTGTTGTAGTTTTCTGACTTGGGCCTTAGATTATTCTTATTTGAGTAATCAAAGAGCGTATCAAGCTAAGTATATTTTTTTCTTCTCTTTCTAGAGTCTTTTGGTGGGTGTAAACGCTATGCCTGCAGGGCCAGGCAGGTAACCTAAATGAATGAAGTGGGCTGGGCAGCCAATGATGCTGCTGTTATTCCAGGGTTGTCACCAGGAGGCAGGCATACCTGGGCAGGGATGTTGGTCTTTGTTCACTGCTGTGTCTGCTCTGCAGAGAGCAGTGTTTGTGACATAGTAGGCACCCAATAACTATTTGCTGAATGGATGAATGTGTTGAAATATCATATAAGAAAGGCAGTCTGAATTTTTATATACTATCTCTAGATTTTGAAATCATGGCAGATATTTAAAAACTAAGTTGTGTGTGGGTCAAATAAAACATGTCTCTCAAATTGCCAGTTTTACCAGTTTGTGACCTTTAACCTTTATTTCATTTCATGGGCCGTCAGCACATATCCTATCCTTCTGCATCTCTTAAACCCAGGTTATACACCAGGACCAGGTGGGGCAGGAAAGCCATGTAGACCTCCAGTTTAGATTTCTGACATTATTTCCACCCAAGAGATGAATGTAAACATTTAAAATAAGCTCTCTACTTTTAGCCTTATCTTGACATTGCTCTCTTAAAAACAAATTTTTTTTTAAAATTTAATGTATTGAGACGTTCAAAAAAATGGAAGTGGCTGGACTCTCTCCAGCCTCTGGGAGGTCCTATCTGATCTTGAAGATCCAGATTCACACATACATTTTTCCGTGAAGCCTATAACTGGTTTATTACTAGGAGACTGTCTTTGTGGACTCTTGTAGTTTATTTTTTCCCCTGACGTTCTGAGCATGCTGTTCAGTTTGATACTTACTATTTATTGCTTTGTGTTGTTTATCAGTTCATCCCCAGTTAGAACTAATGCTTCTTTTCTCCTCTGTCCTGTGTTCTCGCTTTCTCTTGTGAGGTTTTTATTTTTTTGTTTTTAAGTAAAGGAGTCTATTCTTTAGCTTCTGTTTTGTTTTCTAAAAGGCTGTGTCTGTTTTTCTTTATCAGTTTCAGTGGGTAAAGTCTAATGGGCTAATAAATTAATTATATCATTTAAATGAGATTAGAATTTAAACTTTAATCCATATTCACAAATTCTCTTATTGGTGGGCTAGTAATACTTAGGTAGTGATTAGTTTCTAATATCAATATTTAATCAGAACTTATAAAAATCTTAATTTAAGTGATACTAATTTGTGCCTGTTAATTGTTGATTCACTTTCTGAGCTCCATCTACATTGTTTGCTTTTTGTGCAAAGAAAACTTTTTTTTCTGTAACTCGATAGTGTTATCTTTGAATCAAACACAAGTACTTTTCAGAATCATTTGAAGTAGATGTTTAGAATAAAATACCCTATTTTTGATGTTTTTAAACTTTTACTTTGAAGCAAGACCTAGACTACTAAAATTTTATTCTAAATAGCATCTTAAATTATTGACATTTGCTATTCAGTAGCTTATTTTGCTTTTTCTGATTTATTGCTACAGAATTTAAAAAATAGATTTATTTATCATTGTTTTATACCTAGCCTCAGATACCACTTTATCATAAAGACTTACTTATCATTATCCTGATTTAAATTATATTTAACAAAAATATTTTGTAGACCCCACATTTTGTTTGCACATTTAATGCTAAAAACACTGAAAGAGCTGACTTGTTTGTTGAAGTAGGAGAGTAATTTTTTTCCCCCTCAGACTTGCCATTATTAAATCTAAAGACTGCCAGTAGGATATTCCCTTCTGGATTCTGACTTTCAGGGATGGATTTTAGTGAAAGAAGCTATGGGAGGATTTAGTGATTTACATGAACAGGTAAAGAGTTTGGGCAGTTCTAACAAGGTCCCAAGGCCACTTTAGGTTGCTGATTCCCCTGATCTTGTTTAGGCATCTGTGAACTTACATATGTTGATTTGAAATGTCTCATGATGTTTCAAGGTTAAATAGTTCATACTATTATTTTCAGGAGCCGGTGATGATACACGAACTTGGGGTCCACCTTTTGTGGGGACAGAAAGTACTTATTTTCTCAGTGTTAACCGAAATAAAAAAGTAAGAATATTATCCCCTTTTTGCTTCCTTTGTGTAATTCTCTCTTTTTTTAAAAAAAAATAATAATGAATTTATTTTTGGCTGCCTTGGGTCTTCGTTGCTGCACGCGGGCTTTCTCTAGTTGCAATGAGCGGGGGCTACTCTTCGTTGCAGTGCGAGGGCTTCTCATTCCGGTGGCTTCTCTTGTTGCGGAGCACGGGCTCTAGGCACACGGGCTCAGTAGTTGTGACTCAGGGGCTTAGTTGCTCCACGGCATGTGGGATCTTCCTGGACCAGGGCTCAAACCCGTGTCCCCTGCATTGGCAGGCAGATTGTTAACCACTGCGCCACCAGGGAAGCCCTGTGTAATTCTCTTGTAATAACAAAACTTTTGATATCATTGTGGCTTGTTTATTTCTACCCCTTTTTGTAGATATTTTGTAATATTCCCAATAAGGTGACATTTTATTTTATTTTATTCATTCACCAGTTACCAAGTAGAAACAGTAGAGCTTTTTTATTAATTTTCCTTCTCTACTAACTTAAAACATTCTTTGAGAATTTATAATGTTTTTTTTTTTTTTTTTTTTTCCTTCCGGTACACGGGCCTCTCACTGCTGTGGCCTCTCCCGTTGCAGAGCACAGGCTCTGGACGCGCAGGCTCAGTGGCCATGGCTAACGGGCCCAGCCGCTCCGCAGCATGTGGGATCTTCCCAGACCAGGGCACGAACCTGTGTCCCCTGCATTGGCAGGTGGACTCCCAAGCACTGCACCACCAGGGAAGCCCTATAATGGTTTTTAATGGAAATAATTTTATTAAAGTGAGGAATCACTTGATTTGTTACATTTGTTATTCTTTTGGAGATTGCTAATTGCCTACATTTGGTATTATTATTTGAAAAATTTTTACTATAGTCCTTACTATCATCCTAACATATCCAAATTGAAAATAAAATCAGTAAAAATTATTTAAATGTTTCTTCGTGAGGAAAATGCATTTACTTTAAGAGGAGAAATCTATAATATGAATGGCTCTCTTATTGAACTGTCAGCAATAAGAAAAATTTTTAAGATACTATTTTAATATATATATTTTTAATTTTTAGAGTATAGCTGTTAATATCAAGGATCCAAAAGGGGTGAAAATCATCAAAGAGGTACAGTATGCTCTATAGAAGGCATCTTGTCACCTGGGTTGTAATTAGGGATTTGAATATGAGTAAAAATATTTTAAAACATTATTTCATTGGCAATCTGAAATTTTTCTGTAAGTGCCATTTGAGTTTAACTTCGTTTTTATACTAAGTATAATTTGCTTTATAATTTCTGGTATATTGTGTTTAACATTTCTCCATCGTGTCAGAGTGTTCAGTTATGGCACTAGTGTCCATTGACTGAGTGCCTGCCCTGCATCAGATCTTAGGCCTGGGTACTTTATTTGTATTATCTTCTCAAATCTTCAGAATTTTCCTTGTAAATGAAGTATTATATCCTCATTTTCACAAGAGGTGAAATGAGTCTCAAGGGGCTTCAGTGATTGTCTAAAGATCACATAGCTAGTAAAGGGAGGAGCTGAAGTTTGAACCCTAGGTCTACATCACTGTAGAGCCCAAGGTTTTTCTAACACTTATTCAGATGGCTGATATGTGCAGACCTGATCTTGGCATCTTTCCTTGAGGGACCAGCACAATGGTTAGGGGAATACCCCAGTGTTCTACTGCTGGGATCCATATTCTGCCTTCTTTACTTACTAGCCATGTGACTTCAGGCAGGTTACTTAACTTCTTTATGCCTCAGTTCCCTTATTAGCAAAATGGGGACAGTAATAATACCTACTTCTTAGGGTTGTTAGAATTGAGTTAATATTGTGTAAAATGTGAAGAAAGGTGCCTGCCATAGTCATAGTCAGCACTCATTCAGCATTAACTATTATTATTGTTCCCAGTGCACATGAAGGTGGATTCATCATGTGAGATAAAACTTGTTTGCCATTCTTGTTAAAGTTTGAAGTCTAGGGCTTCCCTGGTGGCGCTGTGGTTAAGAATCCGCCTGCCAAGGCAGGGGACACGGGTTCGAGCCCTGGCCCAGGAGGATCCCACATGCCGCGGAGCTGCTGGGCCCGTGCGCCACAACTACTGAGCCTGCGCTTAGAGCCCGCGCTCCGCAGCAGGAGAGGCCACTGCCATGAGAGGCCCGTGCCGCCGCTCACCGCAACTGGAAAGAGCCCGTGCGCAGTGGCAAAGACCCAACACAGCCATAAATAAATAAATAAAATAAATTAAAAAAAAAAAGTTTGAAGTCAAATGTAATGGATGTAAATCTCCTTGATTAGAGAACCAAATCCCCAAATTTGTTTTATATCAAAGTATCAATTTTAGCTTCATTGCTCTGATGCTTCTTTCCTTATCATCTGGCTGATTGAAAAATAACGTCTTCTAATTATTAAGATCAGAATCAGTGATCATCCGCTCTGGTTCTGTTGGATCAGTCCAACAAATTTAGAATTTTACTAGATATATGTTGAACCCAAAGCTTGATAATTGTCCTGATCTCCCTGTCCTGTTTTCCTGCATCTTTTCTATAGCATAACTTAGGTTTGTTTGCTTGTTTTTATTTTATTTTTCAGTTGCAACTTAATATGATTTTTCTAAATTGTTCTGTTATTATTGCCTTGCCTTGTTTTTTTTTTTAAAATAAATTTATTTATTTTATTTTTTTATTTTTGGCTGCACTGGGTCTTCATTTCTGCGTCCGGGCTTTCTCTAGTTGCGGCAGGCGGGGGCTACTCTTCGTTGTGGTGTGTGGGCTTCTCATTGCAGTGGCTTCTCTTGTTGCGGAGCACCAGCTCTAGGCACGCAGGCTTCAGTAGTTGTGGCATGTGGGCTCAGCTGTGGCTCGCGGGCTCTAGAGCACAGGTTCAGTAGTTGTGGCACACGGGCTTAGCTGCTCCGCGGCATGTGGGATCTTCCCAGACCAGGGCTCGAACATGTGTCGCCTGCATTGGCAGGTGGATTCTCAACCATTGTGCCACCAGGGAAGCCCACCCTGCCTTGTTTGTCTATGGCAGCGACCCTTATCTTGGACTCAACTCCCACTGTCTTCATTCTCAGGCCCTTCTTTTTTTTTTTTTTTTTTTAACATCTTTATTGGAGTATAATTGCTTTACAATGGTGTGTTAGTTTCTGCTTTATAACAAAGTGAATCAGTTATACATATACATATGTTCCCATATCTCTTCCCTCTTGCGTCTCCCTCCCTATCCCACCCCTCTAGGTGGTCACAAAGCACTGAGCTGATCTCCCTGTGCTATGCGGCTGCTTCCCACTAGCTGTCTGTTTTACGTTTGGTAGTGTATATATGTCCATGCCACTCTCTCGCTTTGTCACAGCTTACCCTTCCCCCTCCCCATATCCTCAAGTCCATTCTCTAGTAGGTCTGTGTCTTTATTCCTGTCTTACCCCTAGGTTCTTCGTGACATCTTTTTTTTTCTTAAATTCCATATATATATGTTAGTATACGGTATTTGTCTTTCTCTTTCTGACTTACTTCACTCTGTATGACAGACTCTAGGTCCATCCACCTCATTACAAATAGCTCAATTTCGTTTCTTTTTATGGCTGAGTAATATTCCATTGTATATATGTGCCACATCTTCTTTATCCATTCATCTGATGATGGACACTTAGGTTGTTTCCATCTCTGGGCTATTGTAAATAGAGCTGCAACGAACATTTTGGTACATGACTCTGAATTATGGTTTTCTCAGGGTATATGCCCAGTAGTGTCAGGCCCTTCTTTTTATCTTTTCAGTAGTTGTTATTATTATGATGATGATATGGTGATGATGATGAATCATCTAGGAGATTGTGCTTAATTCTTCTCTTTCTGGTTTATGTTTCTCAGTTCCACCTTCATTGTTCAAAGTTCCTGCTTATTTGCTTCCATTTCAGAACATTTTGATATTTTATCCTGAAGAGTGAAGGTTTTAGATTTGATTTAACAAATGCTTTACAAGTTCATTAGGGTTTTTCAATAGGGCAGTGTTAGGTGGAATTCATAACTCTTGCTGCTAAGACATCAGTGTACATTGGAGTATTTTAGGCCTACATGTATAATTCTAACGAAAATAAATGAATTTGCTGGGACATCTTTGTCACTCTCTTTGGATCCTGCCTGTGTCCTCCACCAGATTGTAACAGTTTTAAATTGTTTCATTATGGGCATGGTTTCTCTTCATGTCTGATAACGATAAAGTACATTTCAACTCATATTAAACTTTAATAGATTGTCTGCAGTCATTTTGCATATCTTTTACTTTCAGCTAGTTACACAGTTCATAAGTTATATATCTTACTGCCTAGAGGAAAAGTTATTTTTTGCCTAGTGTTTTTATTCTTTCTGGCATGGATTTCTCTTTTGGTCTTAAAAGTAGCAAAACAACCTTTGTATTCAGAACTTGGTGGGTATGATTGCTAATAGAATGAGTCTAGTTTATAGATACAGTTCCAGAGTATTATACAAAGCAGTCAGCTGGATACATGAGAGCTCCAAAAAGTATGACTACTTTGTCAACCAGGCTAACCAAAAATAGGTTGTGTAGAAAAGAAAGCTCTGCTTAGAAAAGTCCATGTATTTTCATGGCAGTATGATTTGATAACTTCCTAAGATGTCATGTATATTTCAAATAATTCTCTATGTTAATTAGTTGACAGTGACAGTATCCGTATTGTGGGTGTGAATCATGGCCAATAGAGCAGTGTCATGGGTTTTATTTTCCTCCAACATCTTATTATGAAAAATTCAAACATACAGATAAATGGAAAGAGTAGTATAAATGAACTCTTATTTACCCTATGCCTAGATGCAACAGTTTTAAGATTTTGCTATATTTGTTTATTTACATATGAATACATGTGGTATGTGTGTGTCTGATTTTGATCTATTTGAAAGTAAGTGAAAGATATGAAACTTTGTCCTTAAATCCTTCAGGAGACATCTCCTGGGGGGTATAGCTCAGGGGGAGGAGCATTTGCAGAATACATCTAAGAGTAAGGACATTCTTTGACATACATTTAAAAATTATTTTATGATTTTTTTTAACTGATAAATGTGGTTAAATTCTTATCGTCACTTCCCCTCTATTTCTGATCTTGCTCATTCAGTCTGTTCCTAAATTTTTTTTCCCAGAAGAAAAGAAAAAGATGATGAGTTCTCTAACATGCAAAATTGTGCTTGTTTCTTGTTGTGGGTAAGATTCTAGAATAGATTATTAGGTGATCTGTGAGCGCCAAGATGAGGAAGAGGTGATCACCAGCAAAACTGGGAACAAGTCTTTCTTCCCCCCTCACTTTATTTCCTAGTAGATCCTTGTATCAGGGAAATGCGATAAATGTTTGGTCTCCACTGAAGCAGTTGACTTGTATATTACTTGTAGATAGTGTGGAGATCCATGTAGCTCAGGGAGGTTTGTGATGTCTCTGATTTCAGCACTGCACTGCTTAGAATTTTAACGAATGCGTTAGTTAACGCTTTAGGGAACATACGTGATCTTGAAATGGGTAAATATCCCGAAAGAGAGAGGGAGGGAGAATATGTTGGATGGCAGACTCACTAAGAATCAGTATCTAGTAAATAGGTAGTATGTGTTTATTTAAAATAAATATTTATAAAATGGAGCAAAGAATAACTTCTGCGCTATACACTTTTCTGGGGATATTTTATCAATAAGTATCATAATGCATACATATTGAGTTCTTGGGTAATAATAAAAAGCTACTGGGCATCTTTATCAGTGGAAGTCTTTAGCTTCTAAATTTAACTTTTCCACATTTTTCTTATAACTTCGGAGAGTCATACTACATGGTACTCTGAGCACAACTCTTTTTAGCTTAAATTTTTTTTCTGTTGTTATACAAGTAGTATCTGCTCGTGTGCAAAAAGATTAATATTTTAGTGTATCATATCAAATCTCTTTATGTCCTTGTATACTCATTTTTTCCAATAAACATGAGATAACACCATGTATATTGTTTTTTAATGTTTTTTGTTTATACATTCTGAATACTTTTCTATTAATATAACTTATTCATTATATTTATTTTCTTGTCTTATTGAAACAGTGAATTTGTGATCCATCTGAATACTTTATGTGAATTGAAATGTGATTTATGATGGTATAGAAATCTAAAAAATACAAATACCCTATATAGTTAAAAGTTTTTAAATTGTGGTATAATATATTATAACATAAAATGTCATTTTAACCATTTTTACTGTACAGTTCAGTAGCATTAATGACATTCATAATTGTGTGCAATCATCACTGCTGTGTATTTCCTTTATGTTTAATCATCCCAAACAAACTCTGTATCCATTAACCAATAATTCTCCACTTCCTTCTCCCCTCGGCCTCTGATAACCTCTAATTTACTTTCTGTCTTTATGAATTTGCCTATTCTAGATATTTCATATAAGTGAAATCATATAATATTTGTACTTTTGTGTCTGGTTAATTTTACTTAGCATAATGTTTTCAAGGTTCATCCATGTTGTAGCATGTATCAGAACTTTGCTCCTTTTTACGGCTGAATAATATTCTACTTTACTGGATGGATTTATTTGTCTGTTGATGGATACTTGGGTTGTTTCCATCTTTTGGCTATTGTGAATAATGCTGCTATGAACATTTGGATACAAGTACCTGTTCAAGTCCCTGCTTTCAATTATTTTGGGTATATACCTAGGATTGACATCTCTGAGTCATATCTTAACTGTGTTTAACTTTTTGAGGAACCCACACAGAGTTTTAACATTAAAAATAATTTATCAAATGTCATTTGCATAAGGTACTATACTGTGCACCATGCAGAATACGCAGTAGAGAGATGACTGGTGTAAGAATCTAGATGTGTTTGATGCAGCTTGTTTTCTTTAGTGCCTGCAGGAGTGCTGTGTAAGTAGCAGACAGAAGCTCAGAAAAATATGTGGAATAAGTTACAATGTAACTGTAGCTTTGTGTTTTATTTATACTAACACCCATTCTCCCTCCACATTTTCCAAGCAAGGTTTGGTAGAATCATTAACAAAAAATAAACACATCTCTACTTGGGCTGTCCCTGGGGCATACTGCATAGAGTTGCCCATGTGAGAAGCAGCTCGAATGTTAATTGGCACCTGAAATTTGGAAAGGATGCCTGTATGGCTTAAGATTTGGGGTGCATACTGGAAAACCTTTCTCTCTCTCTGTCCTGTATCTTAATGTATATATCATTCCTCTTCTGACAGGTGGTCACCTGGGCCCCTGGTACCTGTTTCAGGAGCTCTGGAGGATAACAGTTTATTTCCCTGAGATGCCTCCTAAGATCTCCTCCCCCTAAATTTTGTTAAGTCAAACAGTTCCATGTATACACTCCAAATTTGTTGACACAATAACAAACAGGCATTCAATTTATTGACGTTTCCTTCTAAAGTTTATGTAAATTCAGTTATTTTCCATCTAGAGCAGAGGTTGGCAGACTGTGTGGGCCAAATCAAGTTTGTTTTTGCACAGCCCATGGTGAATTTTACAGTTTTAAAGATTGTTAAAGAAAAATAAAGAACATGTGACAGGGAATGTATGTGGCCTAAAAAGGCTAAAATCTTTACTTTTTGACATTTTATGAAAAAAGTTTGCGCACCCCTGGTCCAGCGTCTTATTCTATTACATTAGTTTGATGTGTGAGAGTATATCTACGTCAACATGGCAATTAAAAAATTATTGAATTGGGCTTCCCTGGTGGCGCAAGTGGTTGAGCGTCTGCCTGCTGATGCAGGGGACACGGGTTCGTGCCCCGGTCCGGGAAGATCCCACATGCCGCGGAGTGGCTAGGCCCGTGAGCCATGGCTGCTGAGCCTGTGCTCCACAACGGGAGAGGCCACAACAGTGAGAGGCCTGCG